CTCTCACCCACCGACCAAGTGTTACTGGCCCCAGAATGCTGCCCGGCCTGCCCTGCTGGGCGGACTCTTGTCTGTCTGCACCCTTTGTGGCGTCCAGCGCCTTCTCTGCCTTGTCACCCCTTGCTCACCAAACACGTGTATTTATAACAAACTCCTGCTTCCTGTGTCCCTGGTCTTGGGCGGTCTCCAGCGTGGCAGCCGGCTGGAGGAGCAGAGGGTTCAGACAGGGCCCCCTCCGCCCGCGTTGCTGTGGCCCAGCTTCTGACCCTGTAGGGCACTTGGCCCAGATCTGGGCTATGAAGTTCACAGCTTTGATGGATCCCTCCTTGGAGAATCCAAACAGGGTAACACCTCAAGTCCCCTTCTGGGGTGGGTTTGGGACTGATAAGGGGCCAACCTGAAGGCTTTTCCTTGAGGGAGTTTGAAGAAAGGGAAGTAAATAGCAAGGATAGCTGTCGCCCTGCCCAAACCCTCTGGCAAATTCCTCAAAGCACTGCCCAGGTATTCAGAGAATGAGAGGGAGACTGTGTGGGCTGCTGTCCCAGGGACTTCCAGGCCCAGGGCTGGCCCCTTCCCACCCTGCCCCCAAGTCCAGTTCCTCCTCCAAGATGCTGAAGTGCCCGCCTTGGGCACCCCACTGATGTAAACTGGCACTGGGGAGGCAGGGAGTGCCTACACACTGCTTATCCATAAAGAACATCCTGATGCTGGGGTCCTTGCCCGCCCCAGCTGGACAGGAGCAAGCCCTGGCATCCCAGAGGGCAGCAGAAGTGGTACTAGGACGTCGGTATAAGGAGAGGAGGGGGGAGCAAGGGTCCTGCCTTGTGGGCATTCAGGGTATGCCACCCTTCTCTGGACACACCAAGTAACCGCAGACCACCACTCACCCTAACCACTTCCCATTCTGCTATGCCTGGGAGCTGGCTGCTACCCCGGGCGCCCCTCCCTCCTGCAGGGTGCTGAGGCTGCAGCCAGGGCCTGGGGTCCGTCCCCAGCACCCTGCGCTAGCTTTACATGGTCTAATCCCCACCTCAAAGGTGGGGTTCAAGCCACCTTGGTAGCAAGAGGTGAAGAACAGCGTAGGCAGCTGACCTTGGGTGCTGCTGCTCTGCCCTCACCCCCAGCCTGAGCACCCTGGGCTTTCCTGCACACTTGTCTTGGGACCTGTAACTGCTGCGCCCCACCCCCCAAGGTGCACCTCTGACCAGGAAAGCCCGACGCAGGAGGAGGTTGGTTCCCCAGAAAGCCTTTGAGTGAATCTCAGCCCAGAACTTGCCCTTGAGCCGCCCACATCCCTCACATGGGAGCCACCAGGAGTCCCTGTCAGTGCTTCGCTCCCAGACCTGGGCGGTGGTGGCAGCAGGTGACCGGGATGCTCTGCACCAGGGTGGGGGAGGACCCTAGAGAGTCACCTGGACACCACAAAGTCGGGCCCACAGGAGGAGGAGCGCTGAGCCCACAACTGTAGACAAGGCTTAGAAGCCAGGGGCTCTGTGAGGCTGTGGTCCGGGTCCCCAGGTCTGGAGAGGGCCTGTGGGTCGCCCATGGGGGGATTCTGGCCCCACACGTACTGGGTGTCTAGGCTGCGCCCCTTCAGAGGCAGAACAGGCCTGTTCTCCGGGGGAGTCATTGAGTCTTTACTAGTTTATCAATGTAAACATTCAATATATATCCACGTGGCTTGTTATAAAAGAGTGTGCCTGGCCCTGGAGACAGTCCTCTTGTCTTGGATTGGTGTTTACCTTTACGGCTCTGATAACTTGTAGGTGTGACTACATCTTGACTTGTAAGCTTCAGCCATAATCTCTTGACTTGCCCCTGGGGAGGAGGAAGGTTTAGCTAGCTCTCAACAATTGAGTTATAATCTTGATTAACTCCATAGACAGTGTTTACACGACTGTCATGAAGTGGATTCAGGGTGACCGCCCATTTAACAAAGATGTCTGCTCTGGCTCCATCTCCGCGGTAGTTAAGTAGACCGTTGCAGCTGCCCCACCACAGGTCTGGTTTGCCGTGCTGTGGTGGCCTGTGTGTCGCTGTAATGCTGGAAGCAGTGTGACTGGTGTTTAAATACCAGCAGGGTCACCTAAGTGAGCTTCTTTCAGCAGAACTTCCAGACTAGAAAGGGAATCGCCCACTTCGAAGGAAGTAGCCACTGAAATCCGCGCAGCGCACTGTGGGCCTAGTGAACGGGCAGGACATTGTTGAAGACGGTCGCCGGAGACGGGCCTGCCAGTCGGAAGACACTCAACATGGGACTGAGGAGCCGCTGCTTTCTCAGCAACGTCGACCAGGATGGCGTGACTGCAGTAAAGCCTGGGGGAGGGGAGCCTTCAGGGTCTTCATTTGCTGGTGGACACAGCTCAAGACGCTAGGAAGGAACTTCCAAAATCTAGTCATGGAAAAACAAATGCCCAGCTTCATATGGAGAGGGAAGAGACGCCGGATAAGCAAGGAACTTCTTAAAATGGAGGACAGAGTAGGGGGCCTCACTCCCTGACCTAAAGCCCACTACATAGCCACAGTGTGCGAAACAACCTGGTAGTGGTACAAAGATCAACGGCAGAGTAGGAAACCCAGAAGTAAGTGCATCCACCTATAAGCAACTGATAGGGACCACCTCACCAACACACAGTGCTGGATAAACCGGGCATCCGTCTGCAGGAGAAGAAACAGGACCCACAGCTCTCCCCATGCCCGAGAACGAGCTCGGGGTTCATCAGAGCTAAAGGGAAGCCCCAGAGCTCTAAGGATCATGAATGAGAACATTGGGACACCCCGACGGCCAGGCACAGTTAGGGAAGCACACGCAGCGGAGGGCACAATCGATGACGGGACCTACTGAGAATAAACCACTTGAGCAAATCAAGAGTGAGATGCGAGCCCGCAGATGGGCCGACATTTCTGGCGATGACACATCAGACAAGGATCTGGTAACCAACATCTACGAACTCTGGACAGACCTTAATAAGAATAACATGGCCTCAGTTAACAGTGGGCAAAAGGTGACTGGATCATTCACCCAAAATGGCTGAACCATACACGCGTGGTGAAGGGAGACGTCGGACGTGTAAGACATGACAAAATAATGATGTATAAATTATCAAGGGTTCACGAGGGAGGGGGGGAAACGAACTGATATCAAAGGCTCAAGTAGAAAGTAAATGTTTTGAGAATGATGAGGGCAACAAATGTGCTTGACACATGGATGAATGGATTGTGATGAGAGCTGTACAAGTCCCCAATAATATGATTTGAAAAAAAATAAATACAGTCATGAAAAAAAAATGGCTCATAAGCACTAGCCATCGGGAGATGCAAATTATTGCTCCTATGATATATCACTTTACACTCAGCTGGCCCAGTTCAGAGAAGCCAACAAATGCTAGCGACCACGTGGGGAAAGGGGAACCCGCACACACTGTTGGTAGACTTGGAAACACGTGCAGCCGTTGGAAAGTGATATGGTGCTGCCTAAAACAGTTGGGAAGGGAAATCCCATATGACCCAGCAATATTGCTACTGGGCATGTACCCCAAAGAAGTCGGAGAGAGACACAAGCAGACACAGGCTCTCCCATGGTGAGCGCAGCACTGTTCACCACAGCAAGAAGCCGGAAACCGCCCACATGGCCAATCAGTGGAAGAATGGATAAAGAGTTGATGGTACGTACACACAAAGGGCTGCTCGCAGTCATTGAAAACGGACGAGCGCATGAAGCACCTCATGACATGGGTGCTTATGCTGAGTGACGTTAGTCAAGTGCAAAAGGACCACTAGGAGTCCACCGCGATAAGAAATACACACCACTGCTCTCAGGACACAACTCCAATCCAGTCTCCCAAACAAAGGTAGAGAGTCTGCCTAGTATGCACCCCCTCAGACAGATAGCTTCAAAACCCACTTCCACAGAGACCTCACCTCAGCCCAGGCCACTTCTTCAAGGAGAGGGAAGGCAAAGGCCATTTGCTGCCAGACGACACTGTGATAAAGTTCCCTCAATCAGAAATCTCCCACCAGAGTGATAGGTGAGCCTTACTGGAGGGTCAAGTCAGAACAGGGGAAGGGGAA